TCTCTCTCTTGCTCTCTCTCTCTGTCTCTCTTTCTCGCTCTGTGTCAAGGAGGCAGCTGTGGGACTGAGGGTTCGTGATGTTATCGGGCTCTCTAGTTAGGGTTGTGGAGAGATGTTGCTCCACCTAAAGGTGTGAATAGCTTTACGCTGCTTGGCCGCTTCCTTCGGCTCTTAATTCGAGGAGCTGAGGTCAGCTCACAGACTTGGCAAAAATAAAAGAACTAAAAATGTCAAAACAGCAACCAAACCAGCATACCTGTAGAGCAGTTGTCAGCTAGTCCACCCAGCTGGTCCTGTTAAGCCTCACTTTAATGTCCATCTGCTGTGCTGCCATTGGAAATTTTCTCTGTCAAATATTTAAATTAAATGTAGATCTGAACAACAGGATGAAGCCCCGTGACATTTTGTGCAGACTGATTGTCCTGGAGTTTCATGTTGTCGATATCCCTTTAATGTATTCAGTTATTTCTAAGCCTGCACCAGCGCCAGGGTGTGTGCATACTGTATAGCCTTACTTGAATTAATTAGTCTAATTTGACTCGATAGGCTTTTCAGTCGTTGAATTGCACAGTTGATGTAGTTGAAGTAAATAAGTTAGGGATAGGCAAGTAACCTGCCTGATTGTCTCACTTGCTCATGAATCATTTATATATTAAGCACATTTAACATCCATGCCTTACACAGCCCACTGCATCTCCACATTGAATATGTGGTCGAAATGAATGTGTTTCCGCCAACCTTTAATTACCCACGGCCACCACTCTCACTCATATGCGCCCTATCAGTGATATTCATTCTGATCACTTGAGGTCTTAAAGACTCTGAATGTCCACCTGGTCTGCAGCATGTTTGATAGGGAAACCCTCTTTGTTCTGCTTTTTGCGCTGCTCCCTCAGCTCCTCCTGCTCTCTCAGTGCTTTAGCAACTCACTTGGGTATTGTTTTATAATGACTTAATAGTAATGTATTTGACTGAATGAACCCACAGGATTTGGATTGTGTCTTTAAGTCTTAATTATGGGTTTCGTGTTGGGCCCTGGTGCTCTGGGGTGAGGGGTCAGTGGTGTGTTTGGTCTACTGTTGCTTCCACAGGGGATAGAGAAGAGTGTGCATATTAATAAAAAATAAAAAAAAACATAGTGAAGGTGCTGGATAAACAAAAACACGAAATAGGATCGGCACACACTGTCAGTCACTCATAATGAATTTAAATTAGTCTAATAAAGCAACGTTTTGATTACAGAGATCTTCAAGGGAATTTTCCCTTTGCAAAGATCTCTGTGCAATTTCTTTAAATTAAATGAACTGGGCTTTATTGACAGTTGATTAGCTTATTTTTCCTTCCATTTCCTTCCAAATCCCTCCTTAAACACTGTAGCATTAGTGACCAATCTGCTTTTGCTCACAGGACTGTATGTAGTTGCATTCGTCTATTTTGTTGCTTGGTGATGTTTTTTTTTCTCAGACTCCAGGGGATAACTAGCTAAACTTGGTTAGCATGACATCATCATATTTCCAGTTCCACATGCTCTCTGGGGTCATTCTTGGAATTGTACAGTAGGAAATCACTCAGACTTTGGTGAAGCAAATTAAAGTACACTAAAAAGTAGATTAAAAACATCACCAGCCACAAAAAGAGGCTTTGAACATCACAGCCTGATGACCTTTGGCAATGTGAGAAGACTTAATGGTGGAATATTCCATATCATTTTATACCAGAATACCATTTTATCTCAAGTAAATAATTACTTTGATAACTTGACATAAAACAGCCGTTACATTCAGTGACTTCTTCATTATGTTTTGGTTTTTTTACGCCACCATGAGAATGTGGCACCTCTGTCCAGACCAGCATACCACCTGTCCCTGTCCCAGGTCTCCATAGCTCTGTAACATGCTGGCACTCTGGCCACCAGGCACTATAGGTCTGTATAGCCCTGTTATTTACTACTGAATCCTCAACTTTGTACAGTGGATGAGAAAATTATCGCATGGAACCATGTTACTGTACTAATAACCTATACAGTATATGATATTTAATTTTTTGATAACTTACATCAATGAAACTTACTTATCAACAACAGCCAGACTTGTGAGAAACCAGTTTTTTATTTTTCTTTGAGCACATGGTATCTAAGGATCTAATTTTTTTTGTTTTGTAGAATAGAGAGGTTGTTTCTTCATTGTTCCCGTTTGGTTTTTGCAGTTGCTGGGGTTTTGTGTCTTTTACTGTAGGGAAAAGAATATGACGTTACCATGTTTAAGATAGACAAGAATCATGCTTACGCTAATTAAGGACGATGACATTGATCATTTTAGTGATGGCTACCCGGTGTGAGAATGTTCAAGAATTTGTGAATGAACTGTGTCTGGTTTACACTGAGCGATAAAGCAGTGATGAATCCTGGTTTATGAAGTTTTGTGACTGTACATTGAAGGGCTTGGTGTGGATGCAGGCTCTAGAGACCCCTGACAATCCTTATGGGTCTGACAACTCTTCCAGCATGGTACTCAAAGTCTTTTACCATCTGTAAAAAAAATAACCACCTTTACTAACCGTGAAGGAGTGATCAGTAACAACGCTTCCCTTTTCTTTGTCTGTATGGACGAGTAAAAAGTCTCTAGAGCCCGAGTTCCACCTCTGAGAAATTAAAAGGATTCTCTGTATTGCCTTGTTAATATTAATTGTGGACACATAATTTTATAAATGACAAAGACGTGGAAATAAAGATAATTTATCTTGTTATTTATTCGGAGGTTGTGTTCTTTTGTCATGTACCATTTTAAATATGAGATTATCTTTTCTCTCTGTGAACAGTTATCTTTTGGAACTACTTTCTCCTGAAGAAATGGCTTCAATGAAAACTGTTGACAGACTCCAAACAAACTTCCGTTCAGAGGTTTCACAGTCCGATATCTCAAAACCTGGACACACAAGATAAAACAATCTGCATGGCAATATGCCACAAGGGGAAGTGGGGTTTTCTTTTTTAAACTGGCCCATTTTTCAGGGTGAATGCAACAGTAGAAAGATATTTTCTCATTTTAATGCAATGTTTGAAACAAAAGGGATTAAGTGACACAGACACCAAAACTCCCCCCTATTTGCAAAACAAGTGCACGCTCAAAAGGTGTTCCTAAAACTATTCATGACAGAATTTAGAGCACAAACATCCAAATAACTGCTGCCGCCGCTGGATTGATGGACACCAAACTGAAGGAAGACAAATGATCTGCACACTGTACTGACAGCTCCCAGTAAATACAAGTTAACAGATAAACATTTGATGTAACTGAAATCAACCATCATCAAAAAAACATCACAAAGCAGAAGAAACAATGTACAGACAGAAACACATCACTCAGGTGGTTGTGATCTGCAATCTACTCTGAGGCTGGACCAATCAGAGAAGAGTTGGATGACACTGTCTGAAACATGGAAGACAAAACATGCCTTTTCCATCCAATATTAAAAACATTAAAGGTCCAGTGTGTAACATTTAAGAGGATATATTGGCAGAGATGGAATATAATATTCAAAGGTATGTTTCCATTAGTGTATAATCACTTGAAAATAAGAATTGTTGTGTTTTCGTTCCACAGAGTATCCATAGTGTCCACCATGTTGAACTGCCATGTTTCTACCAAACCCTGTAGATAGGGCCTTTGGTGTTTTTTTGCATGTTTTGCAGCCACTGTAGTTTCTCCCACACACAGGTTGTCACATACAGGTGCGAGTGGTGTTCAGTTGCAATCAACAACTTCACTAAGTCATACACAAAAGTAATATAAATCAATTCAGTTCAATTCAATTCAGTTTTATTTGTCTAGCTCCAACTCATAACAAAAGTAATCTCAGGACACTTTTCAAATAGAGTAGGTCTAGACCATACTGTTTATAACATTATTTACAGAGACCCAACAATTCCCAGCAAGAGCTAGGTCTTGGCGACAAGGAAAAACTTCCTTTTGAGGGGGAAACCTCGGACAGACCCCGGCTCTAGGTGGGTGGCCATCTGCCTCGAAAAATTGCAGACAGCACAATGAAATAATTTTGTAAATTAAAAAACATTTTGATAAAGTACCTTTCACTATAGGTTTTTTTATATATATATATATATATATACAAATAAAAAAATCTAAATTAAGTCTGTCACTTAAAATGATTAAAGATACTTGATCAATAATGTTTTGTTAACTTACAAAATTTAGTGTTAAATATAATCAGTTTCAACAAAGAAACAACAATTAACTTATCTGGTTTTACAGTGAACTCATCATATTAATAATAAAACTATTGTATACATAAGGACATTAAAATACACAAAGTGCCCAAAGAAGATAAGATACCTCAAACGGAAGAGGTTTGCAAAACTAAAGTCAAATAACCATTCAGGAGTGGAATATCTTCAGAGAAACACAGTGTGAAAACCATGGCCGCTCTGTAAAAAAACAGAACCAAAAATCAAATCAAATTGTGTGAATGCATTTTAAATTGTGAACACTACACCACTGCATGTGCAATATTAGAACAACATTGTGCCAAACAAACTGTTGCATTGAACCTTTGGAGCCAGCAGGGGGGGATGTTACACCACCTTTTCTGTAAGTATAAAGCATAAAGATGTTTTGTATGTCCCTATCTTTCTTAAGTAAAATAAATGGGAACTGGTTTTGTTGTGTAATGAAGACCAACCCAATAAGCCTTTGCTGCTTCTGTCTTCTCCATGAAACAGAGACCTGCACCCATCTTTTAGATCCAGCCTAAACACAATCACATGCACCTACAGCGGCCTTTCTGGCTACCAGTTACCACACAGCTGTAAGTGCTTTGTCATGCTTCCTCAGATCTCACATGTGGGAATGACACACACCCTCTCAGGGGGAAGCTCCTGGATCCCGAGGGCTGCTGGGAAAATAGAAGAGGATCTCATTAGTACCAGCCCATTATTTCCACCCTGAGCCTCAGAGGGATGCAGGATAAGGAAAGTCAGCAGGGGCGCTGTCCCAGTGAAACACACAAACACACAGGCTGAGGACAGCAGCTGAGAAAACTTGACTCAGTGATGAACAAATGGAACAGCCACACACAGGGACAAAGGTGTTGGAATACAATTGGTTCTTTTTGTCAAAATTTTAGTTAGACTCTCTGTCTCTTTGTGTTGCTAGGAACACTGCATGTAATGATAGGGTGCAAATGTCCCCTGGTTGATTTATGTGCTCTGTTTGAGTCACAGCAACATCAGGAATGCAGCGCTGTGATAAGGAACATTTGATAATAAGCTCTTTTTTTTTCAAAATGACAAAATCGATTAGACACAATGAAATACTGATAAAACAGAAGAAAGAAACGTCATGCCCTGGGATATGTGGAGGTGAAATAACAAGACCCCTGGGGCTGACTTTTAAAATGACAAGCACAAACAAAGACGAAATGAAGTTGGATGACAAAAACAGTCTGAAAGAAAATAAAGCAGGATTTTTACGACTGTTCTGTTTTTCTTTCTCTCTATGATTCACACTTTTCTTTGTTTTTCTGAAACTGACTACTGCTCCCACATGATTATGAATTGCTTACATTTGCAGTAGAATATATAGAAAAAACTATGTTGGTGTCATTATAGTTTACCCACATAAGATATCATTAAAAACGTCACTGCTGTGAAACCAGGATAAAGTTCTAACACAAGCAGGATTTACAGATTTTAGATAATGATCTGGTCATGCACCATGTCTACATTAGACCAGTCTTGCTATGCACATACAAGGCTGTGTGCTGGCTGATTTTACACTGTGACTCATATGAGAATAAACAGAGTCTGCTCGCTGTGCAGCAGACTCTCTGGGGACACACATCTAGAAAACTGCCATGAGACAGAAAGGCTGGAAAATACTTGAAATTTGGGGGTTGATTGTGCTGTGAGGGAGGACATTCTGCCCCTTATCCAATGGTGTCAGCCTGTGTTGTGCCGTGAGGCTGAAGCTGTTGCCAAGAAACTAAATGAACTTGAAATGAACTTTCCCCACGGCCGTGACAGGGGAAGGATAGTCCTCTCAGAGGCTGCAGCACGCACTAGAACCTCTCTCTGTTTGGTCGACCAGTTACTGCAGTTTTACAGATGATACATGAAATGAAACAAAAATGAGTATTTGAGTATTTACTTTATATGCTGCTTTATATTTCCTGTAAACTACACTACCAGTACTTTGTACTACACAGCTATAGCTTACTTTACAAATGAAAAATGATTGTGCAGGCAAAAGAGCTGCTGAAGAGCATATAAAACTGTTCATATAATTAGAGCTGAAACGCTTAGTCAATTAATCAAATCATCAATTAATTGTCAACTATTTTGATGATTGTTTTTTAAGCAAAAATGTCTCAAACATGTGGATTTGCTGCTTTTCCTTGTAATGATTTTATGATCATGATTTATTTATTTTTTATTTTGTCCATCCAATAGTTACTTTAAAAAAGGAAACTAACAGA